ATAAGGTCAAAAAAGGGATTCCTACATACTATAAAATTCAGCATATAAAAACTACATTCAAAACAGATTGTCTGAAAACTGCTTTTATTGCCATACGATACATAGAATAAAGAAAGCAAAATTCACACAAAATATATAAATAAAAGTAAAATGCAAGCAAAAGAAAAGGTATAAAATTCATTGTATTATATCCATTACTTCAAATCAGCCTTTGGTTACAGCACATGTACATGTTAATAAAAATGAAAACACGTTATGTAAAGCCGGCTCTGTTTTAGAAGAAATTACATGTAAAAACTCTTAACATAAAAAATATATATATATTCAACACACATCAAAACTTTGGAAAAGTGTCAAGAGGGAATCTCGCTCTCAGACCAATTCATGCACCTTTATGAGCAACATGTTACCCTTCCATCATAGCTAAATGAGCCCTTGTTAATTTGATCATCAAGCCTTTTCCTGACATTGCATAGACACTCCTTCAGAAATCCAGCTGCTGACCTATGTGTTCTACCAGGGCTGAAACATCTTGAAATTTTTAAACAAAAGAAAAGAAATGGGTCAGTAAAGTAAAATTTCACAAATGTGTTTCAGTTGTTTGAATAATGTCAAGTTGTCTGTAATCCTGGAGCGGTGAGCTTGAACACTGTGCTTGACATTTGTTCAGAGAGGACAAAACAACAATGAAGCAGACCAGTGGTTGTGAATGTTTGCAATTAATTGTTACGAGATGGACTATGTCAAGATCAAGTATCATGTTTCACACACTTTATACTGTCACAAGGTTGTACAAACCTTTTTGCCAACTTCTCCATAGATTTACAACAAATGTTATTATTTATGCATCTATAATGTGCATATGACTGAAGAAGTCACTTGGATGAGTGAGGAAACGTTTCTCCCACTGAAAACGCTACGTCCAGATGAATAGAAACAACCTTTCGGGATTTACTTACCTGGATGATTGAGCATGCATCGAGATATATAATGTGCATTCATTTGTTAAAGATGTACAGTATGTTGCCTATGTTGCTGTCGCCATCACAATCTAGCTAAGCAAGGGGATGTGCGTGCCCTTTGCGTGGTCTAGTGAACGAGGGGGAAAAAGGGGTCAAAGTATTAGTGCTATCTATCTTTTTTTAAATCTAAATTGGACGAATAATATTTGCCTTTAAAGTTTAAAATGAAAATATGCTGTTATTACCATAGATAGTTTAGGGTAAATTAAATAATTAAATGAAATAGTTTAGATAGACTGGGTTCCTTTTTCTTTTCTTTTGACCTTTTTTCAACAAATGCAACACCGAGTCTAATGCTTTCTTTGTTCTAGATATAGTGGTCTCTAAATTGTTTGTAAAACAGAGCAACTTCAACCTCATTTCAAATAATATATTTAAAAGATGATATCAAGCATTTTTAAGTAGAAATAACTATAGCTTTCTCCATCACAAGCTAGCTGGTGTTATCTGTACAAAGGCCTCCAATGAGTAGGTAAAGATCTAGAATAAATCAGTAAATTGTAATTATTAAAAAAAAAACAAACCTATGATTTTCAGACTGTTAGAATTCACTTTTTATTTACTGTTTTTTATTTCATAGTAGTGGTCCAGTGAAGTCTGATCTGGTCACAGTCTAGTTGAAAATGCCAGTTTGTGAAGAATGATGTGGCTTTTTCTGAGGCTTATCTTCAACCCAAGCAATTGGGTAATATTTTGACCCAATATCTCATCAAAGCTACCCAACCTAATTATTCAAGCCAGGGAGGCCATTAAAGAACCCAGCACATTGTCAACCCAACTCCTAAATCACAATTTTTGAACCCATTTTTGGTCAAACTAACCCAACTTATTAACCTAAGGCTTTTACCCAGAAGTCGAGCTATGAAATTAACCCAGCATTTTTTAGTGTGTATGGGTATAGAATTCAGCAAACCATGTTTAGGTTTAAAACTTTAAATAACACATTGCTAAGTGTTAAAAGTAGGTCATGAGGAGCTGGACTCAAAACTAACACATTTTCTGTTCAACCAACGCAGTATAAACCATGAAGGCGTGTCGGCACCTGCAGGCAAAACATAAAAATCCACAGAGGTTGCGCAGTATCGCACAGAAGAAAGTGAGCTGCAGACTGAAGCACGGTGGTGATGAACATTTGGTAAGTTTCAAACAATTTCATTGAAGAGAAATTGTTTCATGAAATATTTACAGAATTACATAATTTATTTTGTTAGAATATTATTTTAATTAAAGTTTTAATTGTAGCTATTAGCTAAGTTTCAGCAAGGCAATCTTAACATTTCATCTTTGGAAAGTTAAAGATGATAAAAAAAAAACAGGAATAGTTTAAGTACAAAATGAATGTTATTTTAGGAATGATTAAAAAAAAAAGTGGTGGAATTTTCATTCATTTCATTAGATTTCATTCTTGGCCATGATGTGTGTAAAGAATAAAATAAACAACAGTGAGGGAAAAATCAAAAGAAATAATGTTGATGATAAACATGATGTATAGCTAATTTGCTTTGTATTAAAACATTATGACATTGATTTTAAATGCAAGGGTCAAACTGAACATATCTGAAAAACACTTGGATTGTCAGTACCCTTACAAAAAAAACAGATTTACTTATTTATGTATACATATGTACCCAGATGATGATGTGAGGATCTATAAACATAATTATGTTGAGAGAGATCGTGGTCAGATTGGAAAACTGGCCTGACAGGAATGAACGAGAAAAAAAAAGTTAACTCAACAACATGACAGCTGGGTAGATTTACTGTTTCTCCTTCTCAGTTCTCCTTCAGTTCTTTTTCACATATCTGCTTTATATGTTTATATAAGCAGCTGTCCACTGAGACTTTTTTCTGTGTGGCTTTTACACAGTACATTGGGTAAAAAGTATTCTGCCTCCACCTTAGACCTTTATCGTATTAGTTGAGTAATATTAAAGATGAAGATAAATCTGATGTAATCATCAGATTACACATGCTTGCACACAACCACAGAGCGACATAGCTCTTTTAAAACTTTACAGTAGCCTTTGCATCAACCTTGAAGGAGCCTTTTTTAGTTTGCTCTTTAAGTGCATTTTGCTGCGGGTAAATATATCCTGCTATGGAGGGTGGAGGCTCATGTCGTGTTAAGAGCTTGATTAGCAACCACCAGCATGTTTTTAGCTAAAACTAAGCACAGGGAGAGCAAGTATTTTCATTAATGGAGGCTGACTTGTGTTTAATTCCCAAAACAAACTGTTTTATTTTGGCAAAACAAAGCAGCTCCCAGCTGTCAGTGCATTTAGCCTTAAATAGTCACTGAGCCTTGTGGAGTGTTTCATGAAAGCTCCAGTGATAATAAAAGGCGTATGCCCCTATATACGCCCTCATCCACTAACCAACAACAAGTTTTAGTTGTGTTTGAAGACCTGTCACCACTTGTCCTATGCTGCTGTAAACACTGAAAGTACCTCATCTATCACTTTGGACACGTCCACACTTTAATGCTATTCTTGAAAATATCCAATACATGGTGAGCTGAAGTTTTTTATTCTTACATTTGTTCATTTGTGTGTATGTTTGGTGGTGATGTTATAGGTTTGAAGGTAGTGTGTGTGTGTGTGTGTGTGTGGGGGGGTGTGGGGTTCTTTTTGTCTTTGTTCTTGTGGTGACCTCTTCTGGTTAATATGCATTGAAAACCTAGAAAGATCACAGGTGTGCTCATTAATGGGTTTCCTTTTAGCAAAATTGCCACTGAGAGAGAAATGTGATGGACAAAATCTGCTGATCATTTTTGATGTGACTCCCCCACCTCATGTGAAGTTCTTATCCTCTGAGTCATTTTCACACCAAACCACCTACATAGGAAAGAGCGACATTTTGTAATATTAGCTGCCAATAAGCCTTCACCTTTAATTAAAATACAGCTGGAAAACTATTCATTTCTAAGCGACAGAGAATTTTTTTTTTCTTCATTTTTCGGTCTAAATATTACATATCCAGAAAATCTATTATGTTCAACAATACAACTTATCTGCAGAAACTCATCCAGAAAGAATGAAGGATTTGAGTCATCTTCCATTGGTGTTAAAAAAAAGAACAGATATACTTCCGGGAAGGACGATGTATTTACTGTCTGTTTATTATATTTCCAAAGTATGCTCAGTATTAAAGCCCTTAACAACTTACCTTATGCACTGCAGTCAGGTGTTCAGCAAAAGAGAATATTATAAAATTTCCATTCTAAAAAATTAATGCTCATTGTTTTAAGTAAACTTTCCATTGTTATTAAATGTGTAGCTGTCAATAGTGTGAATGATTGTTTCAAAGTGAAAATAAAGAGTGACTAATGGCGATTTATTAAAATAAAACAGAAAAGAAAAGAAACACACATCAAGGTCACATCCTAATGGTTTTTCTTTCTTTTTTTTTTCAAATAAAATTTGATGCTGTTGTGTTGACAAAATATTAAACTCCATTCACGGTAGCTTATCCAAAACAGAGTGACTTTGTGACTCATATGTTTTTCAATCTGTCACCCTGAAAATTTCACATGTGACTGGATGAATGAAGGTGGGGGTGTTAGTCAGCAGCATTAGTGGGGGTCCAGGCAACTGTGCTTCCTGAGCTAAACACCTATCTTAGGCTTCTATAACTATATATGAAATTAAGTCTGGTTTAGCAATAAAAAAGTTGAACACCACCACTGCTGATTTGTTACTCCAACTAAAATGCAAATCAGTTATTTGGTTAACATAAGTGTAGTGCTTCTGGATCAGTCAAATAACCCTGGCTAATGAGGACACTGACTTTCGACCGGATGAGTCTATATAGGGCAGGTTTTGGAAGTAATCATCATATCTCTTTAACACTGAAAGACGCCACTCAAAAGTTTTTCAACCCTTAAGTCACACGTATATGAAATCAAGCATCTAACCATAGAGTCTGCCTTTAAAAGCATTTGTGAAACAATGGTTTGTTCTAAAGAGCTTCTGTAATAAGATCCCATCGTTGCAACAATTCAGTTGGTGAAATTTCTTATCTCCTACAAATTCCACTCAAACTGTTCTACATGGCATATGTTTCCATTGCATAGCAGCTCTTGCTGGTGTAGTATTTGGTAGGCTCAGTATGTTTCTTGATTGTAGTTTAAAAGCATGATGTATGGGAATTCTAAAAAATTTAAATAAATAGAAACATGATAAACTTCAGTGAGCTTTCTTTTTTTAGAGGATACTATCATGTTTTTTCCAATCAGGATCATAAACCAGATCAGATATTGTCATGAGTGATGTCTTGAGTCAGACTGTAGATTTTCTTTCTTGCTCTGTCTCCTCTCACAGGGAGAAGATGATCTGCAGGATCCTGCTACTCATCATCCTCACCTCATGTGTCTCTGGTTAGTTTACAGCTTCACTTTATGAACTCCAAATAAAGCTCAACAACAGATTTGTTCCAGTTCTCAGTGTGTCTGCTCCTCTCTTTCCCTCTCTGTCTCCTCAACAGGATCATTTGTAGTCAATGTGACACAGACCTGCTATCAGGCAGAGGAGAACCACAACATCACACTGGAGTGGACGTTCACCACCAAACCTGACAGATCCACCAAAACTCTCAACGTCCTCTGTGAACTGATAACTGAGCGTACAGATTCAGTCCTGTATCGTGTTCAAGAAGGTGTTGAGGTGTCAGAGTCTCAGGATGAAAAGTTTTCAGGACGAGTTGAGAGTGACAAAGACGCCCTCAGAGAAGGACGAATCAGACTTCAACTGTTTAGACTCAGGACTGATGACTCGGGTCTGTACCTGTGTGAACTGAACACAGATTATGGCTTTGGCTCAGCCAGATGTAGACTCAGCATCAGTGGTAAGTTTTTTAGTGGAATGAGTATCAAATTTGACCTGAACCTTGGGATAATTTACTTTGGTTGATATGCAGACTAACTATTCACATTAAAGAAATGCATCTTGTGTCCTTTTTGTTAGCTTCGGATGACCCCAAACGTCCAAGTCCAACAGTGAATACACAACCAGAGAGTCGAGGATGGCTCAACCTGTATCCTTTACTTATACTGCCAGCAGCAGCTTTATTGATCAAACTCTGTTATAAAATCATAAAACGAAAACATAACCTAAATCTAAACAGTCACCGCCTAGGCAGCGAATGCAGTGAAGCAGTAGTCAACTTGAATAATTCAGATGCCACTCACCTTGCTGCTTCATTAGAAGCCACGTCCATCATCTTCTGAGTGTGGACATGACTTCCCTGAACTCCAAAGATTGTCATGTTAACAGCTGGGTCTGCAGTGGAAGATTTGTGGGAGCATCAACCTCAGTGAGAGCTGAGAAACACTGTCTGCAGTCTGCAGCCATCATCAAAAACACTGATGGAAACATTCAAAGCTCTTGTCACGTATAGCATTAATAATATTTCCTTCCTCTTTTGGTTCTAACATTTGTTTTTGTCAGATATGGTATGAGGAATCTTTAATTTTTGTCCATTAGCATGCAGAGTGATTGAAATCACTTGTTGTTCTCCCATCAGCTGTTATAAATTATTACTGGTTAAAATGTGCCTGAACTCAAGTTGTTAAAAGAATTCTAAGTGTTACAGTGAACTCCTAATAATTTGACTATGGATCACCATAGGTAGAATTTACTTTTTCTAAAGTTAATGTTTATGTGTATATATTGTAAACAAGTCCTTATTTATATGAAAGAAGTTATGATTCTTCTGTATATGTGTGTGTCCAAATCATTTTATCAAAGGGTCAGAAGATCTTAAAGAGGTCTATAATACCAAGTGTAATCTAACATGTTTGGTACTATTACTTTACAAGGTGTATTACAAGAAGGACAGGAGTTTGATAATTATTTAAAATATCTAAAACACTGAATGTGTACATATAAAGCAACAAAGTTGTTTACGCCAACTCTTAATCGTAACATTATTCTACTTAAAGAATATTTAGTTGGCGTTGAAATGACTTTTTCTCTCTCAGCACTGAAAATCTAACACTTGATTCTGCTGAGTTTTTCTGCTATCAGCTTCTGTCTCTGCTTTCATAAAATAAAATGATCGATCTTTTTGATCAACAACACAAACAATGGTGGTGACACTTTCTGTCGAAAAACACTGCGGCATGATGGGAACAGCTGCAGTTGTTTACATAAATCAGGGGTGTTGAACTCCAGGTTTTGAGGGCCGGTGTCCTGCAGGTTTTAGATCTCACCCTGGGTCAACACACCTGAATCACATGATTAGTTCATTACCAGGCCTCTGGAGAACCACTTTAACTGGTTTTGAACTGGTTCTAACTGGTTATAGTTGTTGTCAACCAGCCAGTTGTGGCAGATGACTGCCCCTCCCTGAGCCTGGTTCTGCAGAAGGTTTCTCCCACTTTAAAGTAGTGATGGGCAGATGAAGCTTCATGAAGCACTGAAGCTTTTCATCCAATTGGTTCACCCCAGCGCAAAGCTTCTTGAAGCTTCATTTGCTCTAGTAGGACACCTACTGGACGTAAAAATATTAGTTGGCATGAATTTGAAGAGTGTGGC